ATGGGAGAAGATGCCAGCTGTTGGCTTGGTGACTTTGGCAGAGCAGAACGGGAGAGATTCCCCATATCCTGAAAGGGAAAAGGTTTGGGCTTTTAAGCCAGGAGAGGCAAGCGCCAGCCCTCCTGCTGCCCCAACCCGCAGAGCTGGGAACCCGCCGCACCCCTCAAGATCCTTGTTAAAACAGCGGATGGGAAGATCCGCCCTAGCAGGAGGCTAAGGAGAGTTCACCTAAAAATAGGCTGAACTTCCCCGGGAGGCGGCCAGCAGGGATCCTGCGGGAACGCAGCTCCGCACAACCCAAAGCAGGGAGGAAGCTGGATTTTCTCCCTCCCTCTGAAGCTCCCCAGGCCAGCGAGGCCCCGGGCTGAGCTCGAGGGCAGCAGCGAGGAGGACCAGCATCACGCTAGTTCAGCACAAGCTGCCCTAAAGCTCCCCCCACTGTTGGCAAATTTGACTGTGCAGGGGGAAGAGGCTGAAGGCTCCCATCCTCGCAAGTCCTGCTGTGTCTGCCCGGCAGCGCCGCCTGCCAGCGTACCCGCTCTCTCTTTCCCACCCTTGATGGGGCGCAGGGAGCTCTTTCGGAGTCCCCAAAAACCAGTGAGAGCCAACCTCCATGAGACGTGAACCCCTAGAGATGGGGTTGGCCTCCAGCACGAGGAGTGTGACCCAGCGTCGGCTGCTGGCAGTGACACCGTTGTGACCACTGGCATGATCCTCGCCCCTGAAACACGGGGTGCCCACGAGTGCAGCCCCTCTGAGCACTGAGGGACCGAGCTGTGTGAGCCTTTCCCAGTCACCTGAGGCTGAGAGCTTTCCTGTGACGTCACCGTCCTACCCAGCTAGCCCACGAGAGGTGCCAGGCACATCGTCAAATCACCCCAACCCCCCTACTACTTCACCACTGCGCCTTTCAGGAGGTGGAAAGCTACCAGGGTGCCCCCAGACGTGGGCTACGGCCAGGGTGGGCTGAGACATGGCCTCGGTGCACTCACCTGGGTTCGGATCTGCTGCTCGCGCTCCAGCTTCTCCTGGTGCAGCAACCTCACCTGCTCCTGCTGCTGCTGGAGCTGCACTTGCTGAGCAATCACCTTCAGCTTCTCAGGGTACATGTGGGCCTCCAGCGAGCGAACCTGATGGCCAAGAGAGCCCTGACATTGGTGGGGAGCCCAGGCTGCTTCCCACTCAGCATCCCCCTCTCCGATCTCCAGCCATCTGGGCTGTGTCCCCCTCCCCGGGAGACACACAGCAGAGCCAGGGAGCCCAGGGCCAAGCAGTGGCCAGAGCAGATAACCAGTTACCCCACGGCAGTGCCAGCATCCTTGGGGGGCTCCCCATTAGAGGCTGAGCCCACCCCATGCACGACCAACCCAGAATCCAGCCCCGCGTCGGCCTCACCTGCTCCTC